GGGAAAGGTGGGCATATCAGTGAAGTTAGGAGTTTGAGACCAGCCTGGCCAACATGGTGAAATGCCATCTCTACTAAAAATACAAAAATTAGCTGGGCATGGTGGCATATATCTGTAGTCCCACCTACTCCGGAGGCTGCGGCAAAAGTATCGCTTGAACCCAGGAGGTGGAGGCTGCAGTGAGCCGAGATTGCACCACTGCACTCCAACCTGAGGAACAGAGAGAGACTCTGTCTCCAAAAATAAAATAAAATAAAAAAGACATACACATAATATAAAATTGGCCAGTTTGGCTGGGCACAGTGGTTCACGCCTGTAATCCCAGCACTTTGGGAGGCCGAGGCAGGAAAATCAAGAGGTCAAGAGATCGAGACCATCCTGGCCAACACAGTGAAACCCCGTCTCTACTAAAATACAAAAATTAGCTGGGCGTGGTGGTGCGTGCCTGTAGTCCCAGATACTCGGGAGGCTGAGGCAGGAGATTTGCTTGAAGCCAGGAGGCGGAGGTTGCAGTGAGCTGAGATTGCACCACTGCACTCCAACCTGGTGCCTGGCATATAGTAGGTGCTCAAGGAATAATTGATCAGGATGACTTTGTCTTTTCTGGGTCAGAGGCCACTTTTTTTTTTTTTTGAGACGGAGTTTCACTCTTGTTACCTGGGCTGGAGTGCAATGGTGCAATCTCGGCTCACAGCAACCTCCGCCTCCTGGGTTCAGGCAATTCTCCTGCCTCAGCCTCCTGAGTAGCTGGGATTACAGGCACGTGCCACCATGCCCAGCTAATTTTTTTTTTTTTTTTTTTTAGTAGAGATGGGGTTTCACCTTGTTGACCAAGATGGTCTCGATCTCTTGACCTCGTGATCCACCCACCTCAGCCTCCCAAAGTGCTGGGATTACAGGTGTGAACCACCGCGCCCGGCTCACTTTTTTTTTGTTTGTTTTTTTTGAGATGGAGTTTCACTCTTGTCCAGGCTGGAGTGCAATGGCACGATCTTGGCTCACCGAAAACTCCACCTCCCAGGTTCAAGCAATTCTCCTACCTCAGCCTCCCGAGTAGCTGGGATTATAGGCATGTGCCACCATGCCTGGCTAATTTTGTATTTTTAGTAAAGACAGGGTTTCTCCACGTTGGTCAGGCTGGTCTCAAACTTCCAACCGCAGGTGATCTGCCTGCCTTGGCCTCCCAAAGTGCTAGGATTACAGGTGTGAGCCACCACAGCCAGCCGACACATTTTAGGACCAGTTTTTGGCCAGGCATAGTAGCTCTCACCTGTAATCTCAGCCCTTTGGGAAGCTGAGGCGAGCGAATCCCTTGAGCTCAGGAGTTCAAGACCAGTCTGGGCAACATGGCAAAATCCTGTCCCTACAAAAAACACAGAAATTAGGCAGATGTGGTGGCACATGTCTGTAGTCCCAGCTACTTGGGGGGCTGAGATGGGAGGATCAATTCAGCTTGGGAGATTGAAGCCGCAGTGAGCTGTGATCATGGCACTGCATTCCAGCCTGGGTAAGTGAGACCCACCTCAAAAAAAAAAAATACATAAAATAGGGCCATGCATAGTGGCTAATGCCTATAATCCTAGCATTTTGGGAGGCTAAGGTGAGTGAATAGCCTAAGCTCAGGAATTTGAGACCAGCCTGAGCACCATAGTGAACCCCCACCTCTACTAAAACACAAAAAATTAGCCGGGTGGTGGGTGCTTGTAGTCCCAACTACTCAGGAGGCTGAAGCATGAGAATCACTTGAACCCAAAAGGCAGAAGTTGCAGTGAGCCAAGTTTGTGCCACTGGACTCCAGCCTGGGCAACAGAGTGAACCCCTGTCTCAAAAAAAAAAAAAAAAAAAAAAAAAAGGCCAGGCATGGTGGCTCATACTTGTTATCCCAGCACATTGGGAGACCAAGGCAGGTGGTGGATCACCTGAGGTCAGGAATTCGAGACCAACCTAGCCAAATGGTGAAACCCGGTCTCTACTAAAAATATAAAAAATTAGCTGGGTGTGGTGGCACATGCCTGTAATCCCAGCTACTCGGAAGGCTGAGGCATGAGAATCACTTGAACCCATGAGGTGGTGGTTGCAGTGAGCGGAGATCACACCATTACACTCCACTGGGTGACAAGACAGAAACTCCAACTAAAAAAGAACAAAAAAACATAAAATGCCGACCACTGTGGCTCATGCCTGTAATCCCAGCACTTTGGGAGGCTGAGGAGGGCGGATTACCTGAGGTTGGAAGTTCAAGAAACACATGGAACCCCGCCTCTACTAAAAATACAAAAAAATTAGCTGGGTTTGGTGGCACATGCCTGTAATTCCAGCCACTCAGGAGGCTGAGGCATGAGAATCCCTTGAACCCAGGAGACGGAGGTTGCAGTGAGCAGAGATCTTTACACTCCAGCCTGGGCGACCAGAGGGAAACTCTGTCTCAAAAAAACAAAACATAAAATTAACAAAAAAAATAAAGAGCAGTATTTAGGATAAAAACTCGAGGCTGCTGGATGGAATCTTTTGTAGATTGCAAACAGCAAGTTCCCGTTCAATTCTGGATCTGTGATCTGTGATGTGTTTTGTGTTGTCGGACACATGACTCCAAAGTAGTCCCTGGAAATCAGATCATGAAAAGGTCATCGGGTTGGGGAAGTAATTGTTCAGTTCTCTCAGTACAAGAAGCTGGGGAAGAGGAGGAGCTTGCATTCTGGGACAGCTATGCCCCTACTCAAAGAGAGGCTGGGAGTTTGGGGTGCACAGGCCAGACAGTGGCCATCTGAACCTACTCCTCACAGGGGTTTTCCTCAGTCCCTTTCCCATCCACTGCTGCTGGGAGGGATCTGCTGTCCTGGCATCCGGCCCAGCTGACAGGGTCAAGTGTATGAGTGGCAGCCTGCACGTCAGCCCCGGGGTGTGCAGTTTCAGATTCCAAAGAATGAGCTGGCTCCAAGCCCTGCTGAGTCAATGCTCTTCTCCTTGCCAGTGCTCTGAGCCAACCTGCCCCGGGTTCTTCCTGGCAGGCTGGTTTTCTGTGCCAGCCTCCCCTTCCAGACAGGGTCTAGGGGAATTGGAAGGGAAGAGGCAGAGGAAGTCAGTGCACGTTTGTTGAATGAATACTTACCCTTGTGGAATGAAGGTGGTCCAGCCCTTTAGCCTCACTCAGTATTTCCTTTGTCCCAACTCTGTGCCTATACCCGAGGCTCAGTGTGTTGGGGTATCTCCATCTGCCTGGGAACTTCAAACATAGAGAAAGAGGAAGATCTTCCTTGTCTCAAACTTATATTTTATTTTTGAGATAGAGTCTTGCTCTGTCACCAGGCTGGAGTGCAGTGGCAGGATATCGGTTCACTGCAACTGCCACCTCTCAGGTTCAAAGGGATTTCTTTGCTTCAACCTCCCGAGTAGCTGGGATTGCAGGTGCACCCACGACCGGTTAACTATTTTTTTTTTTTTTTTTTTGTATTTTAGTAGAGGCGAGGTTTCACCATGTTGGCCAGGATGGTCTTGAACTCCTGACCTCATGATCGGTCTGTCTCAGCCTCCCAAAGTGCTCGGATTACAGGTGTGAGCCACTGCGCCAGGCCTATTTTATTATTTTTTTTAGAGACAGGATCTCACTCTGTTGCCCAGACTGGATGCAGTGACACCATCGTGGCTCACTGCAGCCTCTACTTCCTGGCTCAAGTGAGCCTCCCTCCTGACTCCCAAGTAGCTGGGACCACAGGCATGGACCGCCGCCCTGGCTTCCTCCCTTCCTTGTGTCTCCTCTTTCCATTCTCTAAGTTCCTGCTTTATTATAGACAAAGATCAGGGCTCTGGAGAACCTGGCGGTAGAGGGTAGGCTATGGGGAGTGAGGCCCTGATGCAGGTCCCGCTGCTAAGGCACTCCTAATATCCGGATCAGGGGAGAAATGGAACTCAAAGAATCTCATAAACACAGCTGAGATGACGGACCCTTTTGCGGGAAGGAATAGGAGAGCCCAGAGAAGTCTTTCCTGGGTTGGAGGTCATAGGAAGTCTCCAGAAGGCGGGGACTTTCGGTGAGTCCTGGGCTTCCTACACAGCACCCTGAACTCAGTTCTTATTTATTTATTTTTTTTTTGAGACACAGTTTCGCTCTTGCTACCCAGGCTGGGGTGCAATGGCTTGATCTCGGCTCACTGCAACCTCCGCCTCCTGGGTTCAAGCAATTCTTCTGCCTCAGCCTCCTGAGTAGCTGGGACTACATGCGTGCGCCACCATGCCCAGCTAATTTTTGTATTTTTAGTAGAGACGGGGTTTCACCATGTTGACCAGGATGGTCTTGATCTCATGACCTCGTGATCCACCCGCCTCGGCCTCCCAAAGTGCTGGGATTATAGGCGTGAGCCACCGCGCCCGGCTTTTTTATTTTTAGACGGAGTCTTGCTCTGTCGCCCAGGATGGAGTGGAGCAATCTCAGCTCAATGCAACCTCCGCCAACTAGATTCAAGCGATTCTCCTGCCTCAGCCTCCTGAGGAGCTGGAACTACAGGCGCCCGCCACCACACCCAGCTAATTTTTTGTATTTTTAGTAGAGACTGGGTTTCACCATGTTGGCCAGGTTGGTCTGGAACTCTTGACCTCAGGTGATTCGCCCACCTTGGCCTCCCAAAGTGCTGGGATTACAGGAGTGAACACCGCGCCGGGCCCTCTCCCCCTGCTTCTGACCTGCAGAACCAGGAGGTCAGGAATGACTTCCCATCCTGGCTAAAGCGAGCGCGGTCTCCCCAAATGGGCAAGGCGGGGCCGACTGGTGGGCTTGGAATTCCACAGCCTAGAGGCGGGCACCGTGGGGGAAGGAAGAGTCAGGTCTCCCACGGTTCGCAGGGGAAGGCCTGCCCGAGCCTTGCGCTCCCAGGGCGCCCCTTAGCCCGCATAACTACCAGGCCTGCAAAGCACAGGACCCCACCCCCTGCCACACGCCCTGCCCCCGGCACTCCCTGCACTCCGCCTCCAAGGCGCCCCCGCCCACTCCGCATCCAACTTATAAAAGCTGTCCTGGGGCGCGGCGAGCAGAAGCCGAGCTGAGCAGATCCACGACTGCGATCCGATTCTTTCCAGTGGCTTCTGCAACCAAGCGGGTATCCGCTCCCGGTCCTCCGCGTCTCCAGCCCTCGCATCTCGAGCCCCAGAGTTCCCGACAGCCCCCGCAATCCCGCTCCCAGGCTACCTGAGAGGATGCGCGGTACTCCGACGGCCGGAGCAGCCCTAGTGCTATGCGCCGCCACCGCTGGGCTGCTGAGCGCTCAGGCCGGCCCGGTGCAATCCAAGTCGCCACGCTTTGCGTCCTGGGACGAGATGAATGTCCTGGCGCACGGACTCCTGCAGCTCGGCCAGGGGCTGCGGGAACACGCGGAGCGCACCCGCGGTCAGCTGAGCGCGCTGGAGCGGCGCCTGAGCGCGTGCGGATCCGCCTGCCAGGGAGCCAAGGGGTCCACCGCGCTCCCATTATTCCCCGGGAGCCGGGTCTCCAGCGGCGAGGTGGACCCTGAGGTCCTTCACAGCCTTCAGGTACGTTCTACCGGGGCTGGTTTTCCGCGCAGCTACTGGCCCTCCTGGCTTGGAAGGGTATGGACGAGGAGGACCGGGAAGGAGGGGGCACAACTGTGGCTTCTTGGGATCCCTTGCCTCAAAGGTTGTCTTTTAGGAAGCCGAGGAGGGAGGTTCACTTGAGGCTAGGCGTTCAAGACCCGTCTCTTCTCCACCAAAAAAATAAATAAATAAAATTTTTAAAACATGGCGGGGTGCGGTGGTAATCCCAGCACTTTGGGAGGCCAAGGTGGGCCAATCACCTGAGGTCGGTAGTTTGAGACTAGCCTGGCCAATATGGAGAAACCCCATCTCTACTAAAAATACAAAAAATTAGCCAGGCATGGTGGCGCATGCCTGTAATTCCAGCTACTTGTGAGGCTGAGGCAGGAGAATCGCTTGAACCCTGGAGGTGGAATTGCAGTGAGGCCAGGTTGCACCACTACACTCCAGCCTGGGCAACAGAGTGAGACTCCACACACAAAAAAGTAATAAAATAAAAATACAAATACAAAAATTAGCCAGGCGTGGTGGTGGGCACCTGTAATCCCAGCTACTTGGGAGGCTGCGGCACGAGAATTGCCTGGACTGGGAGGCAGAGGCTGCAGTGAGCCAAAATCGCACCACTGCACTCCAGCCTGAGCAACAGAGCAGGACTCTGTCTGAAAAAATAAAAAATAAGCCAAGCATGGAGCTGTACAGCTGTAGTCCCAGCTACTCAGGAGGCTGTGACAGGAGGATCGCTTGAGTCCAGGAGTTGGAGGCTGCAGTGAGCTGTGATGGCACCACTCCACTCCACTCCAACCTTTGTAACAGAATGAGACCCTGTCTTTGGGGGAAAAAAAAGAAGATAGACTCCCCTACCTGGCCTCAAAGAATGGAGATTTGGAAGGATGGATGAATGGATGAATGAAGAGATTGGAGGAGCAAGCCAGGTCCTCACCAAGGTTTTCGCCCCTCCCCAGACACAGCTCAAGGCTCAGAACAGCAGGATCCAGCAACTCTTCCACAAGGTGGCCCAACAGCAGCGGCACCTGGAGAAGCAGCACCTGCGGATTCAGAGTCTGCAAAGCCAGGTACCCTAAGGCCAGGGGAGAACAGGTCCCTCTGATAGCTGGGATCCTAGGTGGGGAGGGAGGTGGTGAGAACTGGACCTGTGGGTGGGGACATGGGGCCAGGCATGACCTGATACGCTCCTCCTGTCCCTTCCCAGGTTGGTCTCTTGGCCTCCACGCACCTAGACAGTGAGGTGGCCAAGCCTGCCCGAGGAAAGAGGCTGCCCAAGATGGCCCAGCCAGTTGACTCGGCTCACAATGCCAGCCGCCTGCACCGTGAGTGTCTGGCCCTCAAGGCCCTCTGGCAGCCACCCCGCCCTATCACTTGCCACTGCTGATCCTCTCCTTGTCAGGTCCACCTTAAGGAAGACATGTCCCGGCCTGGAGTCCCTGTGGGCCCACCAGTCTCTGGGTCAGGGCTGATGGAGGCAACTCCTTCCCTAGACCTGACCTCTCCCAGTCAGGCCATCCCACCCTTCTCCCCTGCAAGCCAGTGGGCTGTCCCTGAAGCCCTGCTGGTCACTAATTGGGACAGAGGTGGAGAAAGAGGTATCTTGAGGGGCTGGGTGCGGTAGTTCCCGCCTGTAATGCCAGCATTTTGGGAGGCCAAGGCGGGTGGATCACGAGGTCAGGAGTTCGAGACCAGCCTGGCCAACATGGTCCATCTCTACTAAAGATACAAAAAATTAGCCAGGCATGGTGGCACGCACCTATAATTCCAGCTACTCGGGAGGCTGAGGCAGGAGAATCGCTTGAACCCGGGAGGTGAAGTTGCAGTGAGCCGAGATTTCGCGTTGCACTCCAGCCTAGGCAACAGGGTGAGACTCCGTCTCAAAAAAAAAAAAAAAAAAAAATAGAGAGAGAGAGACATCTTGAGGGACCTGAGCTGTGGGGGTGCTGGGGAAGGTAGTAATGTGGTTCAGGGGTGCCATCCTGAAGGTTAGAACCTTCTAGGGGAGGGGGTCACCGAGCAGAAGGTGCCAGGTAGGGGTGTTTGTAGATTTCAGCCCTCCACAGTGTCTTGGAGTGTGGGAATTAGGGTTGGGAACCCCTGGCTCCCAGGCCAGAAACACTCACTCTTGCATCTTGCAAATCCAACTGTTCCTCCTCATTCTCTTGTTCTCCTCCCTCACCCTCCCATTCCCCCAACCCCCCGCCTGCCGCCGCAGAAAGTGGGTTTTTGCTGCCATCACAAGTTTTAGGTCCTGTATTCCCAAATCTCCGTTAATCTCGAATGACAGCATTTCCACATGTGTCCCACATAGGCTCAAAGTTATCACTCCAAGTTCATGGCCCCACACTGTTTCCCTGAGATCCTTGTCCTACCCTGCATCTGTGGCTGTCCACAGCCAACTGGGTGAAAGTGTGGATCCCCCCCTCACACCCTAGGGTCAGTGGCAGGCTTCCAGCACTGTAGACCTGAGGGCTTTCTCCTCCTCAAGCTTCTGCTCCTTCCATTTCCCACCCCACCCCCACCAAGGCTGGGCTCTTGGTGTAGTCTGGGTCCTGTCCACCCTCACAAGCCACCATTCCAGGATGAGGGGCTTCTAGCAGAAGAGTGGGGTAGCCACCGGTCCTGGCTGGGAAATTCGGTGGAAGGGGGCAGGGGTTCTGTGGGTTCGGGACTCCCAGACTCAGGCCCGCCAAATAGAGGAAAGTTCAGAGCTGGGAAGGCAAACAGCTGGCATATTAATGGAAGCCACACTGGTGGTTTGGCTGTGTGCCCATCCTTACTGGATGGGAGGAAAGTAGGGGAAAGGGGAGATGCCTGAGGGGCCGGAAAGCGTCTTCCTTGTCACTCTGTGCTGGCCTCCACCCCTGCCGTGAAGACTCACTTTGACCTTTCCCCTACTTTTCCCTTACTTTTCCGGCTGGGCTGGACTTGGGGCGGTTCTTCCCAGGCTGGAGTGTCTGAGCTTCCAGACTTGCTCAATGAAATCCTCTCCTCCTCCCTCCCTCTTTCTCTCCTCAATCTTGCCCGGTCTCCCTCTAGTAGCTGGGACCCCAGGCAGAGCCTCTGAGACCCTCTTGCTCAGCACAGTTCTTCCTCCCCATTCTGGCCCTGCTGTCTCATTCATTCATTCATTCTCATTTATTCATTTATCAAGTCTTTTTTGTTCGTTTTTTGAGACAGAGTCTCACTCTGTTGCCCAGGTTGGAATGCAGTGATGCAATCTCAGCTCACTGCAACCTCTGCCTCCCAGGTTCAAGTGATTCTCCTGCCTCAGCCCCCCAAGTAGCTGGGATTACAGGAACACACCACCACCACATCCATCTAATTTTTACACATCCAAGTCTTTTTTTTTTTTTTTTGAGACAGAGTCTCACTCTGTCACCCAGACTGGAGTGCAATGGTGTGATCTCAGTTCACTGCAACCTCTGCCTCCCAAGTTCAAGTAATTCTCCTGCCTCAGCCTCCTGAGGAGCTAAGATTACAGGTACCCGCCATCACATCTAGCTAATTTTTGTATTTTTACTAGAGATGGGGTTTGGCCATGTTGACCAGGCTGGTCTCAAACTCCTGTCCTCAGGTGATCTGCCCACCTTGACCTCCCAAAGTGCTGAGATTACAGGTGTGAGCCACCGCACCCAACCCATTCCTCAAGTCTTTACTGAGCAGCTTCTGGGGCCTGTGTGGATGCTGGTGCCAGGCTATGGGCAGAGCTGCTCCTTGTCCCAGCCTCATGGAGTCTCCATTCAGTCAGAGGAGAGACCACTCAATGACCCCAGTGTCCAGGAGTTGAAAGTCCTTGCTCATTTCCCATTTGGGGAGCTCTGGCCTGGTCTGGGGGTGAGGCAAGGCAAGGTATCCTTCCAGAAGCTGGCACCCGGAGACAGAAGTGAGGAAAGAGAGTCCCAGGCAGGGAAACAGCATGTGCAAAGTCCCCATGGCAGGAGGGTGTATGGTTCAAGGGTGGGAAAAAAGCCTGTGTGGCCTGAAAGGGTGTGGTACAGCATGGCAGGAGGAGGATGGGGACAGGAGCTGGTCCTCCATGTGCTTTGTGGACCATGCTGAAGAAGGCCATAGGGAGCCATGGAAGAGGTTAGCCAGATGGCATAGGGGTGGTCATGAGATCGTATTTGCCTTTTACTTCCCTGGTCATCCACTGCTCAGCCTCCAGACATGCCTGGCTCCTGAGACCGCAGAGGCTGCCCTCCTGTTTCAACTCCCCTCTTTATCTGCCTGCAGGGCTGCCCAGAGATTGCCAGGAGCTGTTCCAGAATGGGGAGAGGCAGAGTGGACTATTTGAGATCCAGCCTCAGGGGTCTCCGCCATTCCTGGTGAACTGCAATATGACCTCAGGTAGGGTGTGCTGGCCCACCAGGGGATGCTCTCCCCACAGGCCCAGTTGCCTTTCTTTAAATTGAAAAAAAAAAAAATTAGAGGCAGGGTCTTGCTATGTTACCCAGGTTGGTCTTGAACTCCTGGGTTCAAGCAATCCTCCTACCTCAGCCTTCTGAGTAGCTGGGACTACAGGTATGTATCACTGTGCCTGCCTGGATGTCTTTTCTTTTTTCTTTTTCTTTTCTTTTATTTTGAGACAGAGTTTCACTCTGTTGCCCAGGCTGAAGTGTAGTGGCATGATCTCGGCTCACTACAACCTCTGCCTCCTGGGTTCAAGTGATTCTCCTGCGTCAGCCTCCCCAGTAGCTGAGACTATAGGCACAAGCCACCACACTCAGCTAATTTTTGTATTTTTAGTCGAGACCAAGTTTCACCACGTTGGTCAGGCTGGTCTCAAACTCCTGACCTCAAATGATCCACCGACCTCGGCCTCCCAAAAGGCTGGGATTACAGGCATGAGCCACTGTGCCCAGCCTCTTTTCTTAAAAATGCAGCCCATGTCTGGGTGTAGTGGCTCATGCCTGTAATCAGAGCACTTTGGGAGGCTGAGGCACGAGGATAACTTGAGTTCAAAAGTTCGAGACCAGCCTGGACAATTCAGTGAGACCTCATCTTTACAAAAAATTTTGTAAAAGAAAAAAGGAGAGGAAAAAAAAATTAAAAATAACAAATAAAATTCAGCCATTGCTGAGAAGGGTGGCACATCCCTGTAGTCCCAGCTACATAGGAGGCTGAGACAGGAGGGTCACTTGAGCCCAGGAGGCGGAGGTTGCAGTGAGCTGAGAGTGTACCATTGCACTCCAGGTTGGGTAACACAAGTGAAAGTCCATCTCAAAAAAAAAAAAAACAAAAAATCAGGCTTATACCTGAACTGCCAGCACTTTGGGAGGCTAAGGCGGGTGAATCACTTGAGGTCAGGAATTTGAGACCAGCCTGGCCAACATGGTGAAATCCCATCTCTACCAAAAATATAAAAATTAGCTGGGTGTGGTGGCAGGATCCTGTAATCCCAGCTACTCGGGGGACTGAAGCACAAAAATCACTTGAGCCCAGGAGGCAGAGGTTGCAATGAGCTGAGACTGCGCCACTGTGCACCAACCTGGGCAACAGAGTGAGACTCCATGTCTTAAAAAAAATGCTGCTTTTTTTTCCATTGAGAAGAAGCCCTTTCCATTATAACATGGCATCTGTGGTTGACAACTGCAGGGGATGAACCAGTTCAGCTGGCCCAGAGAGGCTTTGCAGATTTACACTGCCCTCTCCTTCCCTCCCTCATTCCCTGCTGGGTTCTTGGAACAAAGAGCTTCCCAAGGCCAGCCCATAATATTCCTCCCTCTGACCCACCCTTCTCTAGTCCTTCAGGGATGAGTGAGGGAGCTGCTGTCATCCTGGGTTTGGAGGGGGTTTGGTGCTTGGGAGCCAGATGAAGGAGTGGGGTCCCCTCTTAGGAAGGACTTCCTTGTACCTTGTACCTTTCTGGACAGATGGAGGCTGGACAGTAATTCAGAGGCGCCACGATGGCTCTGTGGACTTCAACCGGCCCTGGGAAGCCTACAAGGCAGGATTCGGGGATCCCCAAGGTGGGTATTTCTTGCAGGGACAGAGGCAGGGGAAGAAGAGGGACCTTTAGAGGTGGCCCTGCCTCACTGAGTGACCTCTCCCACTCCAGGCGAGTTCTGGCTGGGCCTGGAGAAGATGCACAGCATCATGGGGGACGGTGACAGCCGCCTGGCCGTGCAGATGCGGGACTGGGATGGCAACACCGAGTTGCTGCAGTTCCCCATGCATCTGGGTGGTGAGGATACGGCCTACAGCCTGCAGCTCACCTCGTCCATGGCTGGTCAGCTGGGTGTCACTGCCGTCCCGCCCAGTGGCCTCTCTGTGCCCTTCTCCACTTGGGACCAGGATCATGACCTCCGTGGGGACAAGAACTGCGCCAAGAGCCTCTCTGGTAAGCAGACTCTGCCAGGCCACACCCAGCCAGCGCCTCCCCTCCTCACCCTCCTGCTGCTCTGTCCTGCCTTCAACCCCAAAGTGCATCTATTTCCTACTCCCCTCTTCCTTACATGCCATGTGCGTGACTGGGCCTCTGACTTAGCCACTCTGGCCTCAGTTTTCCCATACTTAACAGGGTCTGGACTGGCCAGGCGTGATGGCTCACACCTGTAATCCCAGCACTTTGGGAAACCGAGGCGGGCTGATCACTTGAGGTCAGGAGTTCGTGATCACCCTGACAAACATGGTAAAACTCCATCTCAACTAAAATACAAAATTTAGCTGGGCATGGTGGCAGGTGCCTATAATCCCAGCTACTTGGGATGCTGAGGCAGGAGAATAGCTTGAACCTGGGAGGCAGAGGTTGCAGTGAGCTGAGATCGTGTCATTGCACTCCAGCCTGGGCAACAAATCAAGATTCTGTCTCAAAAAAAAAATTCTTTCTTTTCTTTTCTCTTTCTTTTTTTTATTATTATTATTTGAGACAGAGTTTTGCTCTTTATTTTTATTTTTATTTTTTTTTAGAGACAGGGTCTCACTATGTTGCCCAGGCTGGAGTGCAGTGGCTATTCATAGGTGCAATCCCACTACTGATCAGTACAGAAGTTTTGAACTACTCTGTTTCCGACCTGGGCCGGTTCACCACTCCTTAGGCAACCTGGTGGTCCCCCGCTTCCAGGAGGTCACCATATTGATGCCAAACTTAGTGCAGACACCCGATTGGCATAACACACTACAGCCCAGAACTCCTGGGCTCAAGAGATCCTCCAGCCTCAGTCTCCCGAATAGCTGGGACTACAGGTACGCGCCACCGCGCCCGGCAGAGTGTTGCTCTTCGTTACCCAGGCTGGAGTGCAACGGTGCAATCTCAGCTCACTGCAACCTCTGCCTCTCAGGTTCAAGCGATTCTCCTGCCTCAGCCTCCCGAGTAGCTGGGACTCCAGGCATGCACCAACATGCCCAGATAGTTTTGTATTTTTAGTAGAGATGGGGTTTCTCCATGTTGGTCAGGCTGGCCTGGAACTCCTGATCTCAGGTGATCTATCTTCCTCTGCCTCCCAAAGTGCTGGGATTACAGGCAAATCACCACACCTGGCCTGACCATCTTTATTTTTATTTAATTATTTATTTTTTGGGATGGAGTCCTGCTGTCTCGCAGGCTGGAGAGCAAGTATGGTGATCTTGTCTTACTGCAGCCTCCCGGGTTCAAGTGATTCTCCTGGCTCAGCCTCCCGAGTAGCTGGGATTACAGGCACCTGCCACCATGCCTGGCTAAGTTTTTGTGTTTTTGTAGAGACAGTGTTTCACCATATTGGCCAGGCCAGTCTTTAATTCCTGACCTCAAGTGATTCCACCACCTTGGCCTCCCAAAGTACTGAGATTATAGGTGTCTCAGGACACCCAGCCATGACCATCTTTAAAATGGTGCCTACTCCATATGATTCTTTTTTTTTTTTTGGAAACGTTTTGCTCTGTCACCCAGGGTGGAGTGCAGAGGTGTGATCATAGCTCACTGTAGCTTGGACTCCCTGGGCTAAAATAAAGGCTGAGACTGGGTATTGTGGCTTCATGCCTGTAATCCCAGAGATTTGGGAGACCAAGGAGGGAGGATCACTTGATCCCAAGGGTTTGACAGCAGCCTGGGCAATATAGGGAGACCCTGTCTCTATTAAAAAAGAACACAAAAATTGGCCGGGTATAGTGGCTCATGTCTGTAATCCCAGCACTTTGGGAGGCTGAAGCAGGTGGATTATGAGGTCAGGAGTTCAACACCAGCCTGGCCAACATAGTGAAACACTGTCTCTACTAAAAATACAAAAATTAACTGGGTATAGTGGCACATGCCTGTAGTCCCAGCTACTCAGGAGACTAAGGTAGGAGAATTGCTTGATCTTGGAGGTGGAGGTTGCAGTGAGCCAAGATCATGCCATTGCACTTCAGCCTTAGTGACAGAATGAGACCCTGTCTTTTGGGGAACAAGACTCCGTTTCGGAAAAACAAAAATCAGCCAGGCACAGTAATCCCAATACTTTTTTTTTTTTTTGAGACGGAGTTTCACTCTTGTTACCCAGGCTGGAGTGCAATGGCGCAATCTCGGCTCCGCAACCTACGCCTCCTGGATTCAGGCAATTTCCCTGCCTCAGCCTCCTGAGTAGCTGGGATTACAGGCACATGCCACCATGCCCACCTAATTTTTTATATTTTTAGTAGAGACAGGGTTTTACCATGTTGACCAGGATGGTCTCGATCTCTTGACCTTGTGATCCACCTGCCTCGGCCTCCCAAAGTGCTGGGATTACAGGCTTGAGCCACCGCGCCCAGCCAATCCCAGCACTTTCAGAGGCTGAAGCGAGTGGATCACTTGAGCCCAGGAGACCAGCCTGGGCAACATGGTGAAATCCCATCTCTATTAAAAATGCAAAAAACTAGCTGGGCATGGTAGTGCATGTCTGTGGTCCCATCTACTCAGGAGGCTGAGGCTGGAGGATCTCTTGATCCTAGGAGGTCAAGGCTGCAGTGAGCCGAGATTGCGCCACTGCACTCAAGCCAGAGCAACAGAGTGAGACCTTGCCTCAAAAGAAAAAAAAAAGCCAAGCACGGTGGCTCACACTTGTGGTCTCAGCTACTTGGGAGGCTCAGGTAGGAGGATCACTTGAGCCCAGGAGGCTAAGGCTGCACTGAGCCATGACCACACCATTGCACTCCAGCCTGGGCAACAGAGCCACACCCTGTCTCAAAAACAATTTTTTTTAACCTAAAAATAAGGCCAGCCATGGTGGTTCACGCCTATAATCCCAGCACTTTGGGAGGCTGAGGCGGGTGGATCAACTGAGGTCAGGAGTTCGAGACCAGCCTGGCCAACATAGTGAAACCCCATTTCTACTAAAAATACAGAAACTAGCTGGGTGTGATGGTGGGTGCCTGTAATCTCAGCTACTGAGGAGGCTGAGGCATGACAATCCCTTGAACCTGGAAGGCAGAAGTAGCAGTGAGCCGAGATTACACCACTGCACTCCAGCCTGGGCAATAGAGTGAGACTCAGTCTTAAAAAAAAAAAAAAGACAAAAATTAGCTGGGTGTGGTGGCAAATGCCAGGAGGCTGAGGCAGGAGAATCACTTGAATCTGGGAGGCGAAGGTTGCAGTGAGCCAAGATTGTGCCACTGAACTCCAGCCTGGGTAACAGAATGAGACTCAGTCTCAAGAAAAAAAAAGAAAGTTAAGTCCAAAGCCCAGCCTGGTCCCCAACCTGTCTCATCCTCCACTCCATCCCCACCTCCTTCCAGCCCCATTCCTGGCCCAAAGACCTGACCATGTTCTTTCTCTCCTGACCCCGGCAGGAGGCTGGTGGTTTGGCACCTGCAACCATTCCAACCTCAACGGCCAGTACTTCCGCTCCATCCCACAGCATCGGCAGGAGCGTAAGAAGGGAATCTTCTGGAAGACCTGGCGGGGCCGCTACTACCCACTGCAGGCCACTACCATCTTGATCCAGCCCATAGCGGCAGGGGCAGCCTCCTAGCCTTCTGGCAGGGCCTGGTCCCAGGCTCACAGAGGACGGTGACTCTTCACTCTGCCTGAGGATGTGGGCACTCCCTGCCCAGGCAGGGGATCCAAGGAGGGGCCATCTGGAACCTCGTGGATGGAGAAGACCACGACTGGAGAAGCCCTTTTTCTGAGTGCAGGGGGGCTGGACACATTGCCCCCTGAGATCAGGGCTGCAAGACTTGCACAGACCCTGGAGGCGTGGATGGAAGGGCATGGAGCTTCACTCCTCGGCCAGGGAGCTGGGGATGCAGAGGGACCACTTGGGACCAGCCAGGCTGGCCTCAATGGCGGACTCAGTCACATTGACTGACTGGGGGACCAGGGCTCACATAGGTTGAGAACACCCTCATGGTGCTTGTACTGTTGTGTGTAGGTCCCACAGGGACACAAGTAGGTGCCAATGATATCTGGACAGAGATCACAGAGTTCTTGGAATAAAAGCAACCTCAGAACACTTTGTTCTTTTTTTCAATATGTTTTATTGTTTTGTTTTTCTGTTTTTGTTTTTGTTTTTTTAGTTCACAGATCTAGTAAGTTACCCTCAGTTTGTTTTAAAGAAAAAGTGGACAAAGTCCATGTAAACATGTTCCCAGGGCCAGGCGCAGTGGCTCATACTTGTAATCCCAGCCCTTTGGGAGCCCAAGGTGGGCAGATCACTTGAGGTCAGGAGTTCAAGATCAGCCTGGCCAACATGGTGAAATCCTGTCTCTACAAAAAAACACAAAAAATTAGCTGGGCGTGGTGGTGCATGCCTATAATCCCAGCTACTTGGGAGACTGAGGCAGGAGAATCACTTGAACCCAGGAGGTGGAGGTTGCAGTGAGTCAAGATGGTGCCATTGCACTCCAGCCTGAGTGACAGAGCAAGACTCTGTCTCAAAAACAAATAAATACATAAGGAAAGAAAGAAAAATTAATAATCATTGAATGCCATATATCTAGGACATATATAGCAACAAATATGAAAAACAACATCTGCCCATGTCCTGAATCCCAGCTGCTGTTAATCTTTTTTTTTTTTTTTTTTTTTTTTGAGACAGAGTCTCACTCTGACACCCAGGCTGGAGTGCAGTGGTGTGATCTGGGCTCACTGCAACCTCTGCCTCCGAGGTCCAAGCGATTCTCCTGCCTTGGCCTCCTAAGTAGGTGGAATTACAGGTGCCCACCACCAGCCCCAGCTAATTTTTATATTTTTAGCAGAGACAGGATTTGGCCAGACTGACTTCAAACCCCTGATCTCAAGTGATCTGCCCACCTCAGCCTCCCAAAGTGGTGGGATTAATAGACGTGAGCCACCACACCTGGCATGTTAATCTATTTTTGCCCCAGTATCTCCCTTCTTGTGCTAAAAGAAAAAAACCTCTGTGATTTCCTGGTCTTGACTCTTCCTGGCAGGTGCTGGGGACACAGCAGTTTACCCGGGGCTGTGGCTGGGTGTGGATGGCAAACTCTTTAGCTTTGTAGAGGTATGTCCTATAGCTGCCAGACCAGGGAGGCTGGAGGCTGCCCTCTCCAGGTTCTTTGTTGGCAGGTGTCCCGGACACAGCAGACTTAGAGCTTTTCTCTGAGCCCACTGTCACTGGAGCTGGTGGTGAGCCCAGCCTGCAGGAGAAGGGCTTCCTCTAGATATACCTTCTTCACTTCCAGGCTCTGCCAAAGATGCGCTCATCTCTTTAACAGCATCCTTTTTCTTTTCTTTCTTTCTTTCTTTTTTTTTTTTTTTTTTTTGAGATGGAGGCTTACTCTCGCCCAGGCTGGAGTACAGTGGTGCAATCTTGGCTCACTACAACCTCCACCTCTTGGGTTCAAGCGATTCTCCTGCCTCAGCCTCCCAAGTAAATGGGATTACAGGCACCTGCCACCACACCTGGCTAATTTTTGTAGTTTTTAGTGGAGACAGGGTTTTACCAGGTTGAGCAGGCTGGTCTTGAACTCCTGACCTCGTGATTCACCCCACCTTGGCCTCCCAAAGTGCTGGGATGACAGGCGTGAGCCACTGCGCCCAGCCACCTCATCCTTTTTCCTGCAGCCACTTTGACCCCAAAGCATTTCCTGCCCCTCCAACCTGGGAGGTGATCAGAAACCAGGTAAGAAGTGATCAGAATCACCTGGCCCTCCAACCTGGGGAACAACAGAAAGAAAAAAAACCACCATGGCAGGAAACTAACAAGGGGCCAGGAAGCCCAGATGTAAACCTGGACCCGTTAAACTCCAGAGCTGCAGCTCTAAATGATATTCCTCTTCTGGGCCATGCAAGCTCATTGGCCCCAGTTCCTGCATTTGGAAAATGGGGATAGTTTTGATACCCCACTCCTCCATACCACCACCCTTCCTGGCTTCATGGTGTCAGGACTGCGTGCAGTGGCTGGTGACTGCAATCCCAGCACTTTGGGAGGCTGAGGCTGGAAGATCTTGGAGTTTGAGACCAGCCTAGGCAACACAGCAAGACCTTATCTCTACAGTGAACTTTTTTTTTAGTAGAGACATGGTTTCACCATGTTGGCCAGGCTGGTTTGGAACCCTTGACCTCAGGTGATCCACCTGCCTCGGACTCACAAAGTGCTGGGATTACAGACATGAACTGCCACACCTGGCCTACAGTAAATTTTTAAAAAGGCTGGGCACGGTGACTCGTGCCTGTAATTCCAACATGTTGGGAGGCTAAGGCAGGTGGATCATGAGGTCAAGAGTTCAAGACCAGCCTGGCCAATATGGTGAAAACCTGTCTCTACTAAAAATACAAAAAATTAGCTGGGCATGGTGGTGCATGCCTGTAATCCCAGCTACTCGGGAGGCTAAGGCAGGAGAATCGCTTAAAGACAGGAGGCGGAGGTTGCAGTGAGATGAGATCACACCACTGCACTCTAGCCTTGGCAACAAGAGGGAAACTCCATCTCAAAAAAAAAAAAGCTTTTAAACAAGGAGTAACATAGTCTGACTTATGTTTTCAAAAGCTCCCTCAGGCTGAGTGTGATGGCTCAGATTTATAATCCAGCACTCTGGGAGGCCGAGATGGGAGGATTACTTGAACCCAGGAGTTTGAGACCAGCCTGGGCAACATAGTAAGACCACATCTCTACAAAAAAAGAGAAAAATTAGCTGGGAATGGTGGCACACACTTGTGGTCCTGGCTTCTTGGCAGGCAGAGGCAGGAGGATCTGCCCTCCGACTACTGTGTTTTTTCTTTATTTTTAGAGACAGGGTCTCTGTTACCCGGTGCATTCATGACTCACTGCAGCTTCGACCTCCTGTGCTCAAATGATCCTCCTGCCTCTGCCTCCCAAGAAGCCAGGACCACAAGTGTGTGCCACCATTCCCAGCTAATTTTTCTCATAAAGGGGGTAAGAAGTGATCAGAATCAGGACCAGGCTTGTTGGCTCATGCCTGTAAAGCCAGCCCTTTGGGAAGCCGAGGTAGGGGGATCACTTGGGCCAGGAGTTGCAGACCAGCCTGGCCAACACTGCGAAACCCTGTCTCTAATGAAAATACAAAAATTAGCTGGGCGTGGTTGCGCACGCCTGTAATTCCGGCTATTTGGGAGGCTGAGGCATGAGAAGATAGCTTGAACCCAGGGGGCGAAGGTTGCAGTGAGCTGAGATTGTGCTACTGAGCTCTATCCTGGGCAACAGAGCAAGTCCCTGCTTCAAAAACAAACAAATAAACAAAAATCAAGAGAAATTTCAGAGGGATGAGAGACGAAATAAGGCAATTGAGGGAGGTAAAGGGAGAGAGGCAAAGGGTGGGAGGCAGAGAGGAGAATATGAGGAGAGAGAAATCCATGACCTCTGACTTCGATGGGAGGGAAGGAAGGAGAGATGGAGACACAAGACAGGGAGAAGGAGTCAAAAGTGTTTATGGGATTGTTACACAAAGCTTATAGGAGGCCATTATTTTGGACTGACCTCCTGCACCAAGCCCAACAAACTAAACCGAAATGGAGTCACTTATGCTAAAGTTCTACATGAGCAAACCAAAACTAAGTTGTTTATCTGACCTTCTAAGAAATCAGGAGAGAGAGAGATAAGATAGCCAAATCTCCAGCCAGTCAGTTTTAGCCAGCATAATAAGGAAGTCCTCTCTGCTTTAAGCTTTACAAGAAAAGTAACTTTGGGTTGAGTGCAATAGTGGCTCATGCCTGTAATCCCAGCACTTTGGGAGGTCAAGGCAGGAGGATAACTTGAGCTCAGGAGTTCAAATCTAGCCTGGGCAACATGGCAAGACCCTGTCTCTGCAGAAAAATTAGCTGGGCATGGTGGCACACACCTGTGATCTTAGCTCCTCAAAAGGCTGAGATGGGCGGACTGCTTGAGCCCAGGAAGCTGAGGCTTGCACCACTGCACACCAGCCTGGGTGACAGAGCAAGACTCAGACTCAAAAAAAAAAAAAAAAAGGAAACTTTAAAATGAGCAATCCACGTTTTTTTTGTTTGTTTGTTTTTTGTTTTTTTGGAGTTGGAGTTTCGCTCTTCTTATCCAGACTGGAGTGCAATGGTGTGATCTCAGCTCACTACAACCTCTGCCTCCTGGGTTCAAGCGATTCTCCTGCCTCAACCTCCTGAGTAGCTAGGATTACAGGCACCCACCACTGCACCTGGCTAATTTTTTTGTATTTTTAGTAGAGATAGGGTTTCACCATGCTGGTCAGGCTGGTCTTAAACTCCTGATCTCAGGTGATCCACCCACCTGGGTCTCCCAAAGTGCTGGGATTACAGACGTGAGCCACTTCGCCCGCCTCTACATTTTATTTTCTGTTTCTGCCTGTAAAACCAACCTGCCTGCTCAGCTCCTGGGAAAAGTTTTCATTTTGTGAAATGCAATGTTGCCTGATTGTAGAATTGCAAATAAAATCAAGTAAACCCTTTAAACTAAACGTGTTGTGATTTTGTTTTTTGACAGACGCCCGATGAACACCCTGGGAATGAGATCCAAGAGGCAGTAATAGTGACTGCTCCAATGGCCAGCACATTGGCTGTGTGCTTATTACCCACTGTATAAACGTATTTATTCAGTACTGGGGAAGTTACAGCAGTGATCAGGACAGATACAGTCCCTGACCTCATGAGGCTGATATGCTGTTAACCGAGGACAAAAAACAAGCAGATCAATGGATCAAGAAAGCCATGGGGTTTTTTTTGTTTTTTTTTTTTTTTAGACAGGGTCTTGCTCTGTTGCCCAAGTTGGAGTGCAGTGGGGTGATCATGGTTCACTGCAGCCTCGACCTCCCAGGCTCAAACAATCCTCCCGCCTTGGCCTCTCACGTATCTGGGATCATGGCATGCAGCACCACTGGCTAATTTATTTTTATTTTTATTTATTTATTTTGTCTGTTAGACCTTCCTTGATTTTTTTTTTTTTTTTTTTTTTTTAAGGGACTGGGTTTTGACACGTTGCCCAGGCTGGTCTTAGCTCCTGGCCTTAAGTGATTTTCCCACCTCGGCCTTCCCAAAGTGCATGTT